TTGTTCTCAGCAACATACTAAAAAATGTAAACCAAATATTGAATTTACGATAATATATTTAAACTTAATCAAAGCAACATGTAATACTAAAACAGGCAAGAGCTGTCAAAAATGCAGAATTTTCAAAACCCGAGACAATGAAACTCTCATATGATTTTGTTATTCTTTAGTACATATACTCAAAAATAACACATATAATGAGATTCTAATTTTAGAACAATATCACAGCCACAAAAACATCTAAACCAAAGACCTGATTAAAATATTTTTAAATATAAATTGCTTTCAAATTGCAGTTTAAGCTAATTTTCATACAGAATTCAAACACTAGAGTTCTTACATTGGGAAGAGACTGAAGAATAAAAATCCCCAGAAATTGTATGTAAAAATGTTCATATGTTTACTTTATTGGAGAGAAAGCCATAGGTTTCATTAGATTCCTAAAGGGGTCTATAGTTCATAAAAGAAACTACTACTTTATGTTCTTTGCTACCCAAAAATTAATATATTGCTAGTCCCATCAATTCTATAACTTCAGTAAATTATAAAGGCAATTTTTTAAAATCCAGAGTTAATTTGGGTTCTGCAAAGGCATTTTAAACCAATGGCAAAAGGAAATTTTATTAAAAATATGTCAATGAACTTAATGTCTCTCAGGCTAATTTCTTCCAACAGTCTCTTTAAGGAATCATACAACTGATTTCTTAAATCGAGATATTCATTTTATGGCTATTAACAAAAAGACAAACAAGTGTTAGAAAGGATGTGGAAAAAAGTGAACCCTGTGCACTATTTGTGGGATGTAAATTGGTGTAGCCACTACAGAAAACAGTACAGAGGTTCCTCAAAAATTAAAAATAGAATTACCAAGTGATCCAATAATTCCACTTCTGAATACTTATCTGAAGAAAAAGAAAACATTAATTTGAAAAGATATATGCACCCCTATGTTCATCACAGTATTATTTACAACAGCCAAGATATGGAAACAACCTGAGTGTCCATCAACGAATGAATGGATAAAGAAGAGATATGAGAGATATCTACACACACATAAACAAACACACACACAATAGAATATTATTCTGCCATTAAAAAAAAAAGAATGAAATCTTGCCATTTGCAACAACATGGATGGACCCTGAGGGCATTAATCTAAGTGAAATGAGTCAAGCAGAGAAAGGCAAATACCATATGATCTCACATATATGTGAAATCTAAAAATACAAAAAAACTGAAAGCAGCCACAGATACAGAGAACACATTGGTGGCTGCCAGAAGTAGGGGATGGGTGAAATGAGTGAAGGTGGTCAAAAGGTGCAAACTTCTAGTTATAAAATAAATAAATCATGGAGATATAATGTACACCATGGTGACTATAGTTAATAATACTGTATTGCATATTTGAAAGTTGCTAAGAGAGTAAATCTTAAAAGTTCTCAACATACGCACAAAAAATTCTGAAACTATGTATAGTGACCAATGTTAACTAGACCTCAGTGGTGACCATCTTGTAATATATACAAATATCAAGTCATGTTGTACTGCTGGAAACTAATACAATGTATGTCAATTATGCCCCAATTTTTAAAAATTCATTTTGCAATAAGAGGGAAATATAAAGTTTTATATATACCAGATATATAAAAATAAATGAAATGCAAAAATATCATGAGAACCAAAGTTCATCTGTTTTCCCATATCAAACATTATAACCTCAACAATTCAAATTTTCACATGAACAAGGATACGCTTACTTTTCTTTAGAACTCAGACTCCTCCATAATTCTCTTTCTCCTGGATTTTCTAGAGATAGACCTGATATGTTTTCATCAACCAAAATAATATAATTAATTTGACTACATTTCTTTACAGTAAGTTTTACAGAAATTATCTTAACACTTTCCAACTCATTCTATGAGATCAGTTTTACCTAGATACCAAAACCAGCAAAAGACACAAGATAACTACAAATCAATATCTCTTATGAATAAAAAAGCAAAAGTCTTCAACAAAATACTAATTAACAAATTAAAACTGTATAAAAAGTATTACATACCATGACTAAGTGAAATTTGTTCCAGGAATACAAGAATGGTTAACATTTGAAAATCAATTAATGCAACACATCATATCAATAAAATAAAGAAAACCACATGATTATCTTAATGCAAGAACAAAGAGCACTGACAAAATTCAACCCTTCACAATTAAAAAAAAATCACTCAACTAGAAGGCAACTTTTTCAACTTGAAAAAGGACATCTATGAAAAGTTCACAACTAACATAATATTTAATGGTGAAACACTAAATACTTTCTCCCTAAGATCAGAAACAAGATAAAGATGTCCACTCTTACCATTCCTATTCAATATTCTACTAGAGCTTCTTCTAGCCAGGGCAACGAGGCAAGAAAATAAAATAAAAGACATAAAGTTTAGAAAGAAAGAAGGAAAACTATCTCTGTCTGCAGATGGTATGATCTTGTATATAGAAAATCCTCAGGAATCCACTAAACAACTTTAAAATGAAATAATTAGTTCATCAAAGTTGCAGGACACACAATCAATATACAAAAATCAATTTATTTATATACAGTAGCAATGAGCTAAACAAAAATGAAATTCAGAAATAACTTCCATTAAAATAGCATCAAAAAGATTTACTTAGGGATAAATTTAACAAAAGAAGTAGAAAACTTATCCTCTAAAACTACAAAACATTGTCGAAAGAAATTAAGATCTAAATAAATGGAAAGACATCTCATGTATATGGACTGAAAAATTTAATATTGTTAAGATGGCAATACTCTCCAGATTAAATTGTAAATTCACTGCAATCCCTATCAAAATCTCAGTTGCCTTTTTTGCAGAAACTGACAAGTTGATCCTAAAAATTCACAGGGAAATGCAAGGGACCCAGAATAGGCAAAACAAACTTTATAGAGAATAATAAGTCGGAAGACTCACTTCTGATTTTAAAACTTATTATAAGGCTGCTGTGATCAAGACTATGTCATACTGGCATAAGGACAGACATATAGATCAACAGAACAGATTGGAGAGTTGACAAATAAACCCACATATTTATAGTCAATTAGTTTTTGACAAAGGTGCCAAGGCCATTCAATGGAGAAAGAATAGTCTTTTCAACAAATGGTACAGGATCAACTGGATATCCACATGCAAAAGAATGAAGTCAGACCACTACCTCACATCAAATACAAAAATTAACTCAAAACGGATCAAAGACCTAAATACAAGATGGTTTCTTAGGTGATACCAAAACACAAGAAATGTAAGATAAAACATAAATTGAAACTTGTGCTTCAAAGGACACGATTAGGAAAGTGAAAAAAGAATGCAAAGAATGAGAGAAAAATTCTGCAAGTCCTATGTCTGATAAGAGGCTTATATCTAGAATTTATAAAGACCTCCTACAAGATGACAATAGTAAAGATCAGACAATTCTAAATGGATACACAAAAATAATTCTAACAGAGACTGTCATTTAGTATTGGGGAGGAGAGATGAAGAAAGTTGAATGAGGGGAATGGGGAAACCCTTACTGGTACTCTTCTCTGTATTAGTTTAGGAAAAAAATAGTCCTGTATTATTTTTTATTTACAAATATTTTGTCACTTACATTATGATTTCTTTTTTGGCTCATGAATTATTTATGAGAGAGTTAGTTTTTTTTAAACACATGGTAGGGATGAACTGGTTATCTTTTTGTCATTGCTTTCCAATTTTAGTTTTATTAATGTTCCAAATATGCTTCATAAAAACGAGTTATCTTTAACTATTAGATGTAGAGCTTTCTATATATATTCATTAGACTAATTTTGCTGTCGTGTTGTTCGAATCTATGGTATTAAATTTATGCCTGTCTGGTCTTAAAGACTTTTACAGACAGATGTGAATATCTCCAATGAAGATTATATTTTTATTCATTTCTCTTTATAATTCTGGCAATTTTTATTTTACATTTTGAGATTATGTTATTTAGTCTAGGTTCAGGTTTATTACATCTCTCAGGAGAATGGTTCTTTGTATCATTCATTATACAATGGTATCTCTGTTTTTTGCTTTACGTCTTTTTTGTCTGATATTAACATTATTCCACCAGCTCTTTCAATTAGTATTTCTGTATCAGTTAGGGGTGATCAGAGAAGTAGAACCACTATGAATGATAAGAATAAGAGATTATTATAGGGATATGAACACTAATTGTAGTTAAATAGTTTATGTAGAACTATTGCTTCTACATCTAGTGTTGGGACAGAAATCACAGGGCAGGCAATCAGGAAGGAAAGATGAATGTGATATGGGGAAAAGAAAGGACAAACTGAAACTCATATTATCTCTCACCAATCTCGATGATGCAGGTGAGTGCAGTATCAGCTGGCACCCTCCACCACAACACCCACACATCTGGACTCAGAATTTAGAGAAGCTGAAGGAGAAAGAAGATCCAATGGGTGCTGGAGGATCTGGAGGCCCAGCTGTTGCCTGAGGCCAACAGATCAGAGACGAGGTGTATGAACTGCAACAGTGCCTGACCCTACATCAGCCTTCTGAGAATATACTCTACATCTACTTCACTTCCACAATACAAATCTTGTGCAAATGTCTCCTATGGCCAGCATAACCGGGAGCTATCCTGGAAAGGGAATTCAAGGAAAAGGAGTTTGAGTTCAGTTATGCTGACATACTACAAAGTCACCACAATTTGCATGGATATTTTCTTCCATATCTTTAATTTTATTCTTTCTGTAATTTTAGGTCTGGCTCTTTTAAATAGCATATAGCTGGATTTTTCTTTCATACTATTTAGACTCTTTTAATTATCATGCTTAATTTATTTATATTTATTAAAATTTGACTCATAACTTAAACTTTTTTATTTCATTAAAAAATGAAATAAAGTAATATCTGTACTAAAGATATATGCATAATTTACATTTCTGAAGTATTTTATATACATAACTTGTTACTTACCACTTCTCCAGCAGAGGCAGCCAACATATGCTTTGCAGGCATCAAATATGAAGATGAATCAGAGTGCAAAAACCATTTCACATATTCATAGGTGATAAAAAAGGCAGCAGCTGAAATTTAAAACAATCCCAGTCTTTCAAAGTTTAACTATATATTCAAACCATTAAGAAATGTTTCTCAAAAAAATTACAACTCTAATTAATAAACTGTGAGATAACAGACAAAGATAATAAACACATAGTCTTCTCCTAACCCCCTCACCCTTGCAGACTTCACTGAGCCCATGTTCTGTTCCCAACACTGGACTTAAGAAAATGCAGAAGACATAAGACCTGCCCCAAGGGAGCCTAACAGCTAACCCAGCATTCACCATTTTGTATTAACAAATCATTTAACATTTTTCAGTAAGCCTTCTAGAAAGGGGTGTAAATTTCTGTAATCCAAAATATCTTTATATAGTCATAAAATAATCAGCTTCACCGATTCAAAGATGGGTTAAAATAGCAAACATATCTTACCTAAGTAAAACATCTAACAATAATGTTTTATTTCTGCTTATTCAAAATAACCATAGAAACTTTTTACTATATCAATTCACCTTTATATCAAGGAAACAATCAACTAATTAAAACTGGAAATCAAAATGTCAAAAAAGCTACCTCTATCACCATAAATTAATCTCAGCTGCCCAAGAGGGCCTTAAGACTTGCTATGTACTGTTAATCAAAAGATGTTTATCACTTCCATAAAAGATAAGGCATGAAAGATAAATGAATGACAAATTCATCTTTTGAAGGACACTTGAACATGCCACATTAAAGTCTGAAACACTTAGGAAAAGAGTTTGATAGTGAAAATCAGTTCTCCATAGTTAGTCAACAAGCTTGTGAACACTCTTCAGGCTGCAAACAAAAACATCAGGACAAAGGAGGAAGCACATTGTACCTGGAGGAGTGATGACCAATGCAAGCTGCTTCATGTAGTTAATACAGGTCCTTATTCCCATTTGTCATTCTTAATAAGGCTTTTCCTACTTTGGCTCACTCACTAAACGTACAGCTTGAAAATCTCCAATTGCATTCAGCTGTAAGTTCCACCTGCTACACAATTCACCCTCCCCCATCCCTACTCACAGGGAGAAGGGACAAAGAGTGCTAAGTTTCTAGGTTTTCATGGTTAACCACTTCAGCTGGGTCAGACTTTATTGCTACTTTTATGATAGACAAAGTCTTTTAGAAATATAAGTCCCAAAACTCTCATGAGTGACATTCAAGAACCCCTTGCTAACTGGAAATGATGGCACAATAAGGTTCCAAATGAGGCTCTAGGCAAGTTGCAACAAAGAAGGAGGTTGGGCTGACATCTACAGTCTCTTCTAGGTAGCTCTTTTAAAAAAGCAAAAACAAACTACTATGGTTTTTCTACATTCCTTTCTACATAGAGAGTAAAGATTATGAATATAGGTCCTATATCCTCTTTCAACCTTCAATGCCCTCCACCTCAAACTCCTCACCCCTGCAGAATACGTACTCAAAAAAGTCTAGTCACTGAATGTTACACTGGTGTAGTATACTCAGACTAGAACTTTAACCATTAGCAAAAGGAAAAAGAAAAGCGCCATTCACCAAATTTCAATTCACCGAAAATTTACAGGAAAACAAAAAGACCATTTCTGAAACCCTGACACTTTGACAATTCATCCAGCATCTCCTATTTACTGATGTTCTGTGGATAGCAAAAAAGAAAAGCCTGGCAGAAATACCACTTTCTCATACACACAATATGAAACCACATTCTGTATGTAAACTCCTGCTGGCAAGAATATAAACTAGTCCTGTGAGCTTAATGTAGCAACATGTACCCTACAGACTCTCACTAACACTACATCTACTAACAATAATTCTTAGGTATGATATTTAAGAATAAAAGATCTTTAGAACAATGAGACACCATAAAAACCAAAAGATAAGGACCTAGTAACATATTCCTTTGCAATTTCCTAGTTCAAAGATTCTCAAATTTGTCTGCATATTAAAATCACCTGGAGATTTTTTAAACTTCCAACTTCCAGGCCATATCTCAGACCAGTTAAATCACGATCTCTGGAAGTGGAATACAGGCATTAGTACTTTACTTTCTTCAGGTGGTCAGGTGATTGAAATGTCAAATTTAGAAACCACCACCCCTCTCTCATACATAGAGCTATACTTGGCACTGAGCGGGGTGCTCAATAACATGTTATAATAAATTACTGAAAGTATTACGACAAACAAAATTTCAAGGACCACCTCAAAACAGTTTGTTGTTCTAAGGACTGCTAGAGGAGGGGAAAAGGAGAGAAAGAAACAAAGGAACCAAAACACTATTTTTTCCCTCTGGACCACAAATCTTTATGTGAGTGCCGTGCTCGCAGATGGACACAGATGAACATTTAAATGTCAAATTAACATGAAAATTTCTCATGAATTATCCTGAGAAAAATAAAATCAAACCCCAGAATTTAAGAATCTCCTAGAGCAGAAGTTCTATAATTGTGTGTGTGTGTGGTGGTGGTAGTGGTGATGGTTTTCTTCCTTTGCTTGGTTTGCTTTTGAATGCCAAAACATCAGTAAACAATTAAAATGAGATGAGTATCTGAAAAAAGTATACGAACAAGTGGATTAAGTAAAAAATATAATATTGATTCTAGAATAAGAGGGCATTCATCATATAATGTGACTTCAAATCCAAAATAAAACAAGACGCTGTAAGGAAAGTATCCAGGAGCTTAGTGGGAATTGTCTGCATCATCTAGGAGCACTTTAGTTTAGAAATGTTTAATGCCTCTTAGATTCATCTGCTCCAGAAGACTCTCCAAAGCAGTAGTTATTAAACTCAGCCTCACATTGGAATCACCTGGGAAGCTACTAAAACCCCTAACACTCAAAGCCCAGACCAATTAAACTTCTGGGAGTGACAGAGGCATCAGTAATTTTTAAAGCTTCCCAAGAGATTCTAATGTGCAGGCAAGATTGAGAAACTCTGCTCTAGGCATCATAATTAATGTTAGAATGATACTTTAAGGACTCTAACCGGGAATTTTAACAACAAAAACCTTTTTTAAAAGATTGCTCATATTTTTTTCTATTACAAATACAGTGGCATGGGATCTACAGCTGATTCAAAACTAATGAATAGAAAGCATTCAAAAGATAAGCCACACACATAAGAAATTGTATAAGGTAACACCACATACCATTCTGAAAATAAATCTTATCATTTTGGCTTTATAAGAGTGAGAATATCAACATAATTTTTACCGTTAGGAAAGGATCCGATAGCAGCAGAAGGAACGCCAGCATATATTCCACGAAAACCACCAGCCTTATTAAATCCTTGGGGACTCTGTAGCCTCGTTTTAATGGTATCCAGAGGAAATAATATCAAATCAACAGAGACACCTGCTACTCCACCAGCCTTAAAAAAAGGAGGGAGGGTAAAAAAAAAAGGAAAAACAAGGTTACCACCATTATGAGTGATATTTTCAAATTATAAATTTTTAAATAAAATTTCCTTTTAAAATGAATTTAATATTTATTTTAAAAATTTTTAATTCACTTTTAATATTTTCACATGGTTCAAAAAAGTAAACAAGCAAATAAACTCAGAGAGGTAAAGAGTCCAAAGTCTCCTTCCCTCTTCCTAGTAACTCACTTAACCACTTTTATTGGTTTTGTACTGTATCCTCCCAAAGTTACTTTAGGTATATACAAGCAAATATGAATACGTATTTTATTTTCCTTTTTAAAAAAATAAAAGGTGTATACAATATACACCGTGTTGGATCTTATTTTTTTCACTTAATTTGTATTGGTGATCTTTTCATATCAAACCAAATGTTATATTTTTGTCTTTTTAACTACCGAGTAGTGAATCTGTAGTTAAGACTTTTGGCAGGGGAAGGAGGAGAAGGTTGGAATACTTCTATTTTGAAACAGGTAATGATCTTTGCAAATCTAGATCTATATTTTAAGAATCACATATCTAAAGATTCCTATAGCATTCTCATTTGTGTATATTTGAAAATTCTTTGATAAATTTTTTAATTAACTGAATAAATGGGTGGGGGGGGTAGAGAATAAGAACTAAATTCCTAGAGAATATTGAAACCTGGCCCAAACTAGTCATCTCTCAAGAGACACAATGTTGCTTTAGAAAGCTGCACTTTAAAAACTAAGTTTGCACCTCATGATTATGTGGAGCATATGTAGAATATTTTAAAACTGGTTACACCTTAGTCAAAGCAAAAAGATATTCAAAAAAAGATGAACTAAAAGGCAGTGTCAAAGAAAAGTCAATACACAAGGTCTAAAAGCATCACTTAAAGATGTATGAATCAAAACCATTTACTGTAAACAGATGGAAGAATTACAAAGAGGAAACTCTCAATATGGTTTCTACTTAGCAATTTTTAGATTGAATTGTTAACTTTTCTTATCTTTTGAATTTGGAACCATGTAAACATATTACCTATTCAAAAGTTAAAATATACATTAAAAACTGTATATTCCAAACATAGAAAAAGAAGAACTAGTATTCAAAGTTCCAAATTATCAGCTGTTTCTACTTTTTGGGTTTACAGAAAGCTCAGGTGGTACAAAGCTTAGAACCTAGCAAACACTCTCTGCTCTACTTACCACTCACCATAAAACCACTGCAAGATTTCATTGGAAAAATAAAATTACTCTAATAATTAATCAGCATAGGTAAATGATTAAAAAATAGTTTAAGTGCCAATCAAGATGGTGGAGCAGGTAAACACTGTGCTCAGCTCTTCCTATGACCATACTAAAATTACAATTAAATTATAGAACAATCAACTTTGAGAACTACCTGGAGTCTAGCTGAACATATCACCTATTACTAAGGTTATAAAAAAGAGGCCACATCGAGACTGGTAGAAGGGGTAGAAACTTGAAATGGACTGGCCCCACACCTGTGTGTAGTGACTGACCACTAGGCAGGATATCATGGCTGCAGAGGTCCCCCTAAAAGAGTACAAGGCCCAAGACCCACACCAGGGCTCCCCAGTTCCAGTGCCAGGAAGAGGAGTCCCCACAAATTCTGGTTATGAAAATCAGTGGGGATTCTGATGCCTGGGTGAAATGCAAGAAATTTGGAAACCCAGATATCTCCTTAAAGGGCCCGCGCACAGACACCCTGGATTCCAGCAGAGGGACAGCAGCTCAGGAGGCACCAGAGACATACAGGGAAAGACTGAATTGTGTCACTTCAGGGCAAGGGCTGTAGGGACAGCAATCAATGTCCCTTTGTTGAGCCTTCCTCCTGTGCAGCCTGCAGGCAGGTGCCATGTTGCCTGTGTTGAGCCCTCCACTCACAGGGCCAATTCTGAACCTGCATTGCCGGGTGAGATTGGCTTGCTCCCTGAGACCCTGCCCCACCCAACCCCCAACTGCCTGGGGAAATCCTGTTGCTAGGCAACCAGCCCCACCTTGTGCTGTTTGCAGTGGGCTCACTGGACAGCGATCAAAGGCTTTGGCTGGCCTACCACAGGAGAAACTTTCAATGGTACGCAACTAGCCCTAGCCAAGAGATAGCTGCAGTATCTCTTGAGCAAATCCTGGGAGTCAGTAGGCACCAGTTGGTTTAGATGTGATCTGAGACTTTTGCAAGAGGCCACAGGCTCAGCACTGGCACCGAACCTGAATCTGCACTAGCCAGGATGAAATCCACTTGCTTTACCCCTGGGGCCCGGCCCCGCCCAACCTGCATACCACCCAAAGGCTCTTTCAGCTGCTGAGCCTTACAGGCAGCCAGTAGGCAGCCTCAGGTCTTGGGGTACCCTGGACCTTTTGCTAAGCTGCCCCAGGCCCGGTACTGGTGGCAGCTGGCCTCAGTTCGCAGCATGGCCTCTCCCACTTGCCACCAGGTCTAGCGCTGGCAGTGACCAACCGCAGATAGCTTTGTAGCTCCTACCTGGTAGTCATCGGCAGTCACAGGCAGAGGCTGATCTTGGCCTGCACAGGAGCCACCGCCAAAGGGCACAGAACCAACACATCAGAAAGATGGCATCAGACTACGACAGAGCACCACCTGACTAGCTCACGAGCAGCACACCCAAAGAGTGGTCTCACAAGTACACAGGCATGCTGGGGTGAATCCCACTCCATGGGGTCAGCCACCATGCTGCCTTTTCAACAGAAACTTTGCAGGCCAGAAGGGGCTGATGAGAAATATTTGAAGTGATGAAAAACAAGAACCTACAACCAAGAATACTCTACCCAGCCAGGCTATCAATTAAAATGGAAGATGAGATAAAGAGCTTCCCAGACAGGAAAAAGCTTAAGGAATTCATCACCAATAAGCCAGAATTACAAGAAATGTAAGGGGGACTTTTGTAAAAAGAAAGGGGGAAAAAAACATATATACAAATAATAAAATGGCAATAACTATGTACCTATCAATAAGTATTTTAAATGTAAATGGATTTAATGTTCAATCAAAAGACATGGGGTAACTGAATGGGTAAGAAAACAAGACCCATATACTGTCTACAAGAGACCCACTTCGAGTCAAATGACACACACGGATTGAAAGTAAAGGGATAGAATAAGATATTTCATGCAAATGGAAATTTTAAAAAGCTGGGGTAGCAATACTTATATCAGACTAAATAGACTTTAAAACAAAAGCTATAATAAGAGACAAAGAAGGATATAACATAATGATAAAGGAATCAACCCAACAAGAGGACATAACCCTAGTAAATATTTATGCACCCAATATAGGAGCACCTACATACATAAAGCAAATATAGACTGACGGAAAGGGAGAGACTGACAGTAATATAGATATAGTAGGGGACTTTAACATCCAAATGACACCAATGGACAGATCTTCAGACAGAAGATCTACAAGGAAACAGCGGGTTTAAATGACACACTAGATGGAGTTAATTGGTATTTTCAGAGCATTTCACCCCAAGTGCACATGGAACATTTTCCAGGATACACCGCATGTTAGGCCACAAAACAACTATCAATAAATTTAAGAAGACTGAAATCATATCAAGCGTCTTCTCCAACCAAAATGGTCTGAAACTAGAAATCAATTACAAGAAAAAAAAAAACTAAAAAATACACAAAAATATGGAGGCTAAATAACATGCTACTAAACAATGAATGGGTTAACAATGAGGTCAAGGAAGAAATCAAAAGATACCTTGAGACAAATGAAAATGAAAACCCAACAACTCAAAATCTATGGGACTCAGCAAAAGCAGTCCTAAGAGAGAAATTCAGAGTAATTAAGAGACAGAAAAATCACAAACAATGTAAGCTTACCTAAAAGAACTAGAAAAAAAATAACAAACAAAACCCAAAGTGAGTAGAAAAAAGAAAATAATAAAAATCAGAGTGAAAATAAACAAAATAGAGTCCAGAAAAACAGTACAAAAGATCAATGCAACCAAGAGCCAGTTCTTTGAAATGAACAAAATTGATAAATCTTTAACCAGACTCATCAAGAAAAAAGACAGAGGACACAAATAAAATCAGAAATGAAAGAGAAGTGTCCACTGACTCCAAAAAAACACAAAGAATTATAAGCAATTACATGCCAACAAATTGGACAATCCAGAAGAAACAGATAAATTCCTAAAAACTTACATTCCTAAAAACTTACAATCTCTCAAGACTGAGTCAAAAAAAACCCGAAAATCTAAACAGACCAATTACTACTAAAAAGTGAATCAATAACAAAAAAAACTCCCAAAAAGCAAGTCTTGGACCAGATGGCTTCACAGGTGAATTTTACCAAATAGTCAAAGATAAATTAACACCTATTCTTCTCAAACTATTCCAAAAAGTTCAAGAGGAAGGAAGGCTTCTTAATTCTTTTAATAAAGCCACCATTACCCTATTCCAAAACCATACAAAGACATTACAAAAAAAAGAAAATTATAGGCTGATATCCCTGATGAACATAGATTCAAAAATCCTCAACAAAATATTAGCAAACCGAATTCAGCAATACATTAAAAATATCATACACCATGATCAAGTTGGATTTATTCCTGGGATTCAAGGTTGGTTCGATATTTGCAAATCAATTAATGGGATACACCACGTTAACAAATTGAAAGATAAAATCGTATGATCATGTCAATAGATGTGGAAAAAGTGTTTGACAAAAATCCAGCATCCATTTATGTTAAAAACTCTCAGCAAAGTGGGAACAGAGGGAACATACCTCAACATAATAAAACCTATATATGACAAACATACAGCTAATATCACACTCAAAGGGGAAGAGTTAAAAGCGTTTTCTTTAAGATCAGGAATGAGACAAGGATATCTACTTTCATCACTTTTATTCAACATAGTATTGAAAGTCCTAGCCACAGCAATCAGACAAGAAAGAGGAACAAGAGACATCCAAATTGGAAAGAAGTAAAA